TCTAGCCATATTTGTCCCTTATTAAGTCATTAATTAAATCATTATCTCCCTCGCTCTGTTTCTCTCCCCTTCATCTCTCTCTCTCTCTCTCTCTAGCCATATTTGTCCCTTATTAAGTCATTAATTAAATCATTATAACTGTTATGGGGAGTCTGGCAGTCGTGTCTTTGTAATGGTATTGTCTCTGTGGCTTTGATTGGTGGCAAGGCGATAGCGCGCGTCAATGTCTATGCAAATCGTCACGTTCTGGCCCTATTCAACGCATCGGGTTCTGTGTTTTTTGTCGGCTCGACAAAGACGCCTCTCATTAATGTAAACAAGAAAGAACGTTTATTCTCGGGCTTCACAGCTAGTAAGGTCGCGGTTAGAATATGCTGCCGTATACCGTGTGTACCTAACGTATATATATATACATATATGTATATATGTGGAGAGAAGGGGGAGGAAGAGAGTGAGCGATAGAGCATTTGCGAGGAAGGAAGATGTAGGGAGAGAGAGAGGGGAGGCGGCGGAAGAAAAAAGGATTGTACGTAACTAATCCTCACCATCTTTGTCATGTTAGGTATGTTAAAGGTTGCGTAGTTTAGATTGATTTTGTAAACCATGCCAGTCTAAGCCTCTCTTTAAATCCCAGAACAATAAACGGGCGCACACGAAAAAAACACAGATAATAGAGTAATGTTGATTGCATGCCAGCTTTACGAGAAAAACCTTTCGGCTGTTATTTCTCCTGCCGGTCTGCATTTAAACTCAATGTAATGCAATTAATGAAATTGCCTTCGGCCTATTCGATGTGAGTAGGATTTCGTTTCGACTATTATCAATTCACGGAGAGAATGCTATGGAGATAACTATAAAATATCTATACTATGTGGTTTAATTGAGAAATATCTATAAATCAACATATGTGTTCCGCAAGATGTGAAATATTGTTTTGTTTTACAAGCAAAACGAATTAAAATTATTTATGCATGTTGTAAAAAATATTTAATTCATTAAAATAATGTTAATCTAATATATTATGATTATTAATTCAAAATTAATCATTAATTTTACTTGATTAATTCGATATAATTTTAATTACTATAATTGTTAATGATTTTTCATCGAAATTCTCTCCATCTCCGTCATCTCCAAACTCCATCCGTCTCTCATCGCGGAATTGTTTTCATAAGTCACCTGTGACATAATCGTTCGTTATTAGGACAGTAAACACATGGCTACTACTATACTCCTACACAGCACTGAAAATATTGTGCATGCAAGGAGCAATAGCGTCATTCTGTATAGGTCGCTACTAATACTACCGAGTGTATGCCGTTATCGACTAGTATAGGCGTATGTTATATATATATATATATATATATATATATATATATATATATATGCGCGCGCGTGTGTGTCTATGTATGATATCATATAAGAGCGCATTATCCAAGAAACATTTCGCCAGAGGCTATAAGAACAAGCTCAGTTTAAGGTTTCGAAAGCTGCGCGTTTTGCTATGCCGTAATGTTAGGTTCGTTTCTAGCTGCTCCCACGCGCTGTGACTTCAAACAAACTGTGTTGGAGGCAATAACTTCGTTTAACGCCGACAGTGAACATTTCAGATGCGATTCAATCAGTATGTGTAGAATTGATACCTTGAAACGATATATATACAATCGGTATTTTGAATCGATATGCACGGAATCGGTTCCTTAAAATCGGTAAATTGAATTGACATGCAATAAATCAGGCTAATCTGAAGAATCGATGTCATGATATACTAAGCGCGTGTAAGTCATATGTTGTTTTTACCTAAGTTACTTCCTGTTTCGTCAAATTTTCTTTCGCAGTTGGTTTACTGTTTCGCGGTTAGTGATGTAATTTTTTTTACAAGTGGGAATGTTGTAATTCACTGTTAGGTATATGTGTTGTTTTACTGTAGACTTGTTCTTTCGTTAGTTATATGCACTGTTTCGGTCACAGTTAATTGTGTTTTCTCTCGTTCCAGTTTCCACGGTGTTACTATGAGTGAGCTATCTATCATCTGTAGTTAGCGATGTTTAATTATAGCTAACGTTACGAAGCCCACAGGGCATGGTGTAACCGTATCATCGCTAATAATGAAATTACCGGCATATAATCATACGGTGAAGCGTTTTTTTGCGCGCGGTTATGTATGTCAAAAAGCGAAATTGATCGTGGCAAATACTTTGAAATAGCATGGTACGTGCACAATGTAGTACTGCGTGTACAACCAAGCCGCGCAGATAACACGTGGCGATACATTGTACGACGAAGATACGGACATGATGTCGTTAAGTAACGACTGTTAGGGTGACTATAGTTGTAGCGAATAATGTGTTACTACACATTTCATTAACATCTCGCGAACATTTTCATGTACACGTTTATTACAGTTTTATGAAGTTTCTATTTACACATAGTTGAGGGGATCAATGCATTAGTTAAAGATCGCTGGTCGAAGTGACCTGTCTCATACGATAGATTCACGTCTGCCCTTCTAATTACGTAATCGATCTCACAACTATACTGAGGATTATTCCCTCTCGCGTTCATCATGTAATTTCCCCCTCCCCAACGCCATGTGGAAGCCTATACTCATAACCACGTGATATAATTATGTTAACTGCACTGAATCTTATTGAAATAACGCGCTTATTGCTACTTCTCTTTCTGGTTTTTTTTATAACCACAACTAGACTCTTCTAATTAATACTCAATTCGGTTCTTTCCCAGGAAAAACATGAGCTATCCCGGCAGCCCTCATAAGTCCTAGTTGGCATCATAGCAGCTAGCGTCATGAGTTCAAATACATATACCTTACGGTTAAATCATATAATGTTAACATTTTAAAATTGGTCCGTATAATACTGTGCATATTATTATTCTCCAGCTATATCAAATTCGAGTCTAATAAAAGCTGTATCGTTGTAGAGTTTGAACAGTGCGTATACTTACATTCAATGTACATCATTAACCTAGGTAGCACCTCAATGGAATGTTATCACAGTTCACAGACAAATATACGCAACTCGTTTATCATGCCCGAACAGCTTACCAACAACCGCCAGAATAGGCGGCCACATTGACAGCGGTAGTGTGATAAGCACACGTAGTACGGTGAGGAAAACTCATAATTTAGCTCGCAATTAAGATTAAATCACCGCTCTGCTGATTACTCATGTCTCGGCGACGTCGTCACGCGCTCTCTACTACCCTATTACACCGCAATCGATTCCAACACGTAATACGCCGGCGTTCTCCGGCGAATCCGATACCTCAGTCACCTGCCCGCCGAGAATCGCCGCCATCTTTCTTACAAGCGTGACGTCATCGATCGTCGTCATCTCGTGTCTAATCCGCGACGGTACGGCGCGAAATGCTCGCTAGCCGCACGTCGCCGTCACGGCTGTTCCAACTATCGTTGCTCTCATCTATATACGCGCTACTGAGCTACGGAGACGGAGCCTGTCATGACGCATCGGGACACTGGTCCGTGGGAATACACTTGTCGTCGTCCTGGATGTAGCCGGCGTCGCAGAAGCAGCCTGGCACGCATCCGTAGCTGTAGCAGGTGTCGGTCGAGTGCAGCTGGTCGCATGATCTGTGACACTCTGGTCCGCATTCCATGAATGTCGCATTGGTCGGACAGTCGATAACTAGAACAACGCAGGAGAAGTATGTAATGAGAGAAAGTTTAAGTGAATTACATGCGGGCTTACCGCAGTCCGCCGCCCCACCCCCTCATCACTACCACGTCTACACGACGGCTTACCGCAGTCCGCCGCCCCACCCCCTCATCACCACCACGTCTACACGACGGCTTACCGCAGTCCGCCGCCCCACCCCCTCATCACCACCACATCTACACGACGGCTTACCGCAGTCGGCCATCTCCCTCCACTCCACGATGAATCCGTGTTGACGGACCTCGCGCGCGTACGCTGCCATAACGTCACACACCCCGCGCTGTGGGTTCTTCGACATGCAGCTCGCCTGCTTACACGCCGACACGTACGGACCGGGGCTGACGAACTGGTGCGCGGGCCGGAAGATCAGGTTCTGCAAGAGATGAAGTGAGTGTAAGGTTCACTAAGATATGGAGTTAGTGTTAGAGTGACTGAGACTTGGAGATATTGCGAGGTTCTGTAAGAGATGGATTTATTGTTGGGTTCTGCGAGTTTAGAGTCTGTGCGAGGTGGAGATAGTGTGAGCTTCGGTAAGAGATGGATTTAACGGGAATTCTATAAGAGATGAAGATAGTTTGAGGTTGTGTAAGAGATAGATTTAGTGTAAGGTTCTATGAGAGAAGGACTTAGTTTGAGGTTGTGTGAGATAGATAAAGCTCATTGAATGACGGGTTGATGTGTAATTGAAACAACGAATGACCCTCTATATATCCACAGTGTGCTGCGAGTAGGCCCACCTGAACATCGTAATGGAAATTCATCAAAATCGATTGATTTTCTAGTCAGTGTGGAATCTACGCAGGACTCGTGAAACAATGTTCTCGGCGTGGGTTACAAAATATATATAGGGCGGGCCGATTCAAACAATCCGTGTAAATTTTCCCGAATAATGCCGTGGCGTTTGCTGTACCTGACGCAGCATCTCGCATGACGCCTTCATGCGCTTCTTAGGTCGACATTTTCTCAACCTTCTAGATTGGCAGTCTTTCTCGTCAATGCCGCTGCCTTGCCGTGGCTGCAAGCTATTGCTGAACTCTCTGCGGCAAAGCAAATACAACCAACTAACTTACAGTGTATAGATAATCTATACACACGATTAGTATGATTTCCCAGGTCTCCACATGGTCCAGGCGTCAACGTTTAGGCAAAGAATTGGGTTAAAATTGTTCGAATGCATTGTTAAATGCATTAGTTCCCTCACTCACACGCACACTCACTCATACTAGTTTTGCATTTAGTTAAGTCATTAATACACACCCTATGGCGTTTGTGTTTGCATTCACTCGCACGCGCACTCACTCACCCGCACACTCACTCACAGGCACACTCACTCATACGCACCCTCACTCGCGCGCACACTCACTCGCATGCACACTCACTCACTCACACCCACACTCAGTCACACGCACCCTCACTCGCACGCACACTCACTCGCATGCACACTCACTCACTCACACCAACACTCACTCGCACTCACTCGCACGCACACTCACTCGTACGCACACTCACCCGCACACACGCACACTCACTCGCACGCACCCTCACTCACACGCGCACACTCACTCGCACACACGCACACTCACTCGCACGCACCCTCATCCGCGCGCACACTCACTCGCCGCGAGTTTTACCTATCGGCATCGTCCGTCTGATTTCCGTTGAAGTTTCCGCACAGGCCGCACGTGCCGTTGCCGTGGTAACCCTGCACCTCCACTTCAACGTAATGGCTGCCATCCCATCGCAGCGTGACGCCTGGCCGCAGGCCGAGCACCAGCAGCGTGCCTTCCTCCGACACGCTAATAGTACCGCCGTCGTACGGCAGCGCCACCGACCAGCCGTTGACGAGGATCTGCCGACGTTCGCTAAGCAGGATCGTGTAGTTCGAAAAGTAGATCCGCACGCTCATCTCGGACACGTCCGACGGATTAATGCGCTGCCTCCGCCGCGACTTCCGGCGCGTCGCCGCCCGCTCGCTCCGACGCGTCGCCGCCGCTTCTCCGAAGAGCGATTCGAAGAGGTTGAGTCGCGGCCGCTGGAATTCGAGCAGCACTTGGAAGCCGGCGGCGTTCTCGCACGACTCGGTCAGCACCAGGGGGCAGTGGCTGCGCGGCAGCGTCGCCGTGTAGGCGTCGTAGGTAACGTACTGCTGCATGCCGTAGGTGAGACAGCGTGCCGGTCGCCGGATGCACGTGTCGCAACAGTCGCCCGGTCGCAGACCCGTCACTTGCCCCTGCAATAACGACGACCCGTGATCATTATCATGTGTCGCACTCACGACACACGTGCCGTATTTTGCGATATAGAAGACGCATATTTTTTTTAAACAAGATTTGACGCTCATGACCACCATGCGCCCTATATAATGAAGAACAAATTTGGGCGGTTCAGCTTGAGATCTTGGTATCCACCCGTATCGCAATTAAAACACTAGAACCATCGTTGCCCCGCCACAAGCAACTGAACTAAAAATCGTCCCCCTCGAGTCATTACCAATTATACTCTCATTTGTGTTCGATTGCGGTATTTATAAGCATTGTATAAAACTACATGGAAAGAAACAATTATATTTATCCGCATATTTCATGAGAGATTTAGGGTGCGTCCTATACGCCGATGCGTCTTATATACCGCAAAAATAATACATTTTATGTTCTTCCCGTATCAACTCGGGTAAACATGATATACGAAGACATGCTACACGGGTAAGTGGTGGTATATTCTCAGTGATATGATCATGATCCGTCACACTCCATAACGTTGACGCTGTGGGATCACGTGGCTAAATGCGGCTTCACCTGCATTTTGCGAACTAGTTACATCGCTCACTACCACGAACATATTCCATTAGCTCTTCATTGTGTATGAGTAAGGTACATTAGCTTTGTATGGCCGTTGACCTGGTCTCTGTATGTAAAGTACACCATCCTGATCTCTAAGCGGCCAGGTCGAATGCGAGATTACGTACATGAGTCCTTTGTGCTTAGGTGTACTAAGATATACGTCTGTGTTGAGGTATGCCAACGTTCAACATAGAAAGCCTACCCATGTATCGAATAGTGATGTACATAGAACGTGTCTACGTGGGTTCTGCATATATTATGCTGCGTACGGTAGTAAACGTCTATGTTATACTCTAACGTAACGTTCTAGAATCAATAATAATGGCATGGACCGTTGAATTAGTCATGCACGTTTACATATTGCATGTAAGGAAATACTCCTTTGCCTTACTTTTCATCTGTAAGTATGTTTAGCGCGATGTTCGTCTACACTAGGGTTTGCACCATACCACCATCACATGTACAGTATCTCATGTGATAGCTGTGCTTTACATTTGACTTCTGACAAAGCGCTCAGATTCGGCGCTCACCGGCATAAACTAGTACGCGCGCGTACACGCACACGCACACGCACACGCACACGCACACGCACACGCACACGCACACGCACACGCACGCACGCACGTACGCATGCACACGCACGTACACACACGCGCACACGCACATGTACACACATACACACACATGCACGCGCACACGCACACTCACACTCACACGCACACGCACACGCACACGCACACGCACACGCACACGCACACGCACACGCACACGCACACGCACACATCATACCTGAGGGCATGTTCTGATATTCGGGCACGTGATTGACGCACAGGAGACATTTCCACCGTCACAGTTACATCGTGTGCAGGGATCTCCGGCTGAAACGAAGCTCTCCCCACTCTCGTATATGTTTCCATCATGAACGCAGCTAGTATCTAAAATAAATGCAACGTGCATTACGTAACATCCGGTTCCATAAGAGGATATGCCGCCATAAGAAATACGTAAGCTATACTATGCTATAGATACGCCTAGATCTAGATTTCACAGATATATACGGAAGCGGCATGTGTGGTTATCGCGGGAGCGTGTTCATCTATATTTTACATTTGCGAAGATTGAATCAGATTGCGACGTGATAATCACGCGGACGTCCGCTTCACAGCACACACGCAAACGTGCTCTTGTTTTTTTCCCGTTTCTACTTGATTTTATAATATAAACGTGTTTTACAATATAAACGTGATCATATAACGTACGTGCGTGCGTGCGTGCGTGCGTGCGTTCGTACGTGCGTACGTGCGTACGTGCGTACGAGCGTGCGTGCGTGCATGCGTGTGTACGTATACGTGCGTACGTGCGTGCGTACAGGCGTACGTACGTGCGTACGAGCGTGCGTGTGTGCATGCGTGTGCACGTACGTGCGTGCGTACGTGCGTGCGTACGTGCGTACGTGCGTGCGTGCGTACGTGCTAGCGTACGAGCGTGCGTGCGTGCATGCGTGTGTACGTATGTACGTACGTGCGTACATGCCTACGTACGTGCGTACGAGCGTGCGTGCGTGCATGCGTGTGTACGTACGTGCGTACGTGCGTGCGTACGTGCGTACGAGCGTGCGTGCGTGCATGCGTGTGTACGTATGTGCGTACGCGCGTGCGTACGTGCATGCGTGCGTGCGTACGTGCGTATGAGCGTGCGTGCGTGCATGCGTGTGTACGTGCGTGCGTGCGTGCCTGCGTACGTACGTGCGTGCGTGCGTGCGTGCGTGCGTGCGTGCGTACGTGCGTGCGTGCGTACGTGCGTACGAGCGTGCGTGCGTGCGTACGTGCGTACGATAATGCGTGCATGTATGCGTGCGTGCGTGCGTGCGTGGGTGCGTGCATGCATGCGTGTACTCACTCAGACATTCCGTGCAGCACCTGTCGTGCCACAACACCTGCCTTTCCGAGGGACAATCCAGGGACGGGCATTGCACCGTTGCACATGACATGTCTCCATTCTACAAACACGCAAAAACATCGTGAACGTCCAACGTTCTACTGCCGACCATCTAGATCACGCTGTTTTGAGTTAATTTCATCTATATTCGAATTAATTGATTTCATATTCATTTCGCCGTATTAGAAATCACAAAGTACTTAATTCCCCCTATTGAGACTGCGCGTGTGATGTTTAGTTTTAAATATAATAACGCGTGTAGCTGCCACTATTCACGTGTTTATGCGTGTATATAATAGTATACCAACCTCACATGTGCACGTCGTACACGATCCCAACTTGAACTGAGTGCCGTTGCCGTACCACAAGTCATCGATGTGGCAACCCGTGGTAACTGTTGTGTTTACTGAGCTGATGCAGACAGGGCAGCAGGAACCTTCTGGAATAATTCTCATCTCAGGCGCACACGCGAGCCCCGGACAGTGGATCGGACCGCAGTGTAGATAACCACCCTGTAAAAGTTAAGCCGCAACTTTCTTAGTCTATAACACATTTAGAAAGGAAAGCTCTTCTTCTGTAGTATAAGATATAACATGTATAACAACATACATAATAATTTTATCATAACACAATGAAATATAATATGTAAATAAAGACATTAATATAATTATAATAATAAATCATTATTAATAATAAATAAATTTAAAAACGTAATATAACGATATAAAATGTTACATAATATAATTTGATTTGATTGGAATACTGTCATGCGTGCATAATTATGTCAGGGCCTCGGTTACTTTACCTGGCAAGTACACTGGGCACAGCTGTCTAAGCTAAGCCTGAACGTAGCGCCCTCTAGGTACATGACGCCATCGAGGCTGCAGCCCTTGCATGCTTGGCAGCTCTCCGCCACCAGCGGATCCAGGCAGGGCGTGGGGCAGCGCACCTCGTGGCAAACAACTTCTGTATCCTAATTTTTTTAACAAACATACAACGTGAATTGTCGAGCATTGATTTCTGGCTCACATCATCTGAGATTTACAATAACTATATAGATAAAATCTACGTTTTCTTACGAAAATATCATTATTAGACTATTTATCTAAGCTCACGTGCGATATTGAAAAGGATTCGCATCGTTTTGAAATGATAACTGACCACCATCGCAACAACATCAGGCACGTACGTCTACCCATTTCCTATTGAATTAGACGAAGGCAACGTGCTGTTTACATACATTGCACACGCACAGGCCGCGTTCCTCTTCCGAAATCCAAGTTTCACCGTGCCGGTAGAGTGTGCCACTGTGGTTACAATACTGGCACTGGGGGCAGCACGTGTTCTCGGTGCGCTGAGTGTGGGTGCACGTAGCCGATGGGCATGGCATTGCATCACATACGACGGATCCTCCCTACAAAATCACAATATGGTATTAAGTCAATGAGTCATTAATCGCATGCTGCCAGATGAATACATCCACGCATATGCGATGCCTACTTGGGGTATCGTGAACCGGGTGCGTTTGCGGATACATGGGCTTCTTTGCTTCTCTCGGAAAGTAACATTTTTGTACGTCTAAATATAAGTCGTATCAGCATGCATACCTGCCCTGCCCGTGATTACATCAGCCTGCATATACAGTGCATATCGTATGCCAGAGAGCATTGACACGGTCTCTGTAGCATGATAGACACCCCCCCCCTCCACACCCTCCCATGGTAAACCTCTTAATACGCATGGGTATGGGCGTGCCTAGCATGGCGTGCATGTCGCATTGCATATGCGCATCGAGATTTGAGCTTTATTGCCCATGCAATATATATGGGAGGCGTTTGGCATAAGGGTTAGCATATTATCAGAAGCGAGCTTAACTGTTGGTGTTGTGATGGTCTCGTCCGCGCAGAGAATCGACGGGGGTTACGGATGCAGACAGCTCATGCGTATACCTTCTTCTCACACCTGCTCCAACTGACTCATACTTATCGTAGCGATAGCGGTGCCGCCGCTCTCGAAATCATTCTCTCATACCTGACACGAACAGATGTCGCACGAATTGGCGACGGCTGGCTTGAAGGTGGCGCCCTCTCGGTGAATCTCGCCATTGTAGTCGCATACCAAGCATTCGCTGCAGCACTGAGCCGCGGATCTCGTTCCGTGAGTGCACGTCTCTCTACATACCTCTCGCTCACACGACACCGTGCCATTCTGCAAGAAGAACGCGCACAGTGTCTGCATCCGATATAATTCGTCACAAAAAAACGTCTAACATATAATTTCTTTTTTCACATGCACAAATCATTTTGAAAAAGTTATGACATTTTAAAGTCTATCTCTTTAAAAAAAATCTTATTTTAGACTATGATTTCATAGCTATTTTTCATGTTCCTGACAGTCCCCCACCCCCGCAGATCTCAAACCGTAACTTGAGACATTTGCCAGAGGTAGCAAACTAGCATGTACGACATTATATGAATATTGTGGCAATGATACACTGAGCGTCATATAGGAGAGGTTGGGATAGTAATTTTGAATGTTAAAGTACAGGTGAGTATGTGCTCTGTACTTTGAATGTTTCATTTAGCATACAGTGCATTACAAACACAGCATGGGCATTACAAACACAGGTATTTTCCTATGTTACAGTGTAGACAAATTCAGGAAGGTCATGCACCTTGTAATTAATAATAATATTGAACAAGTGAGAAAATATTGAACAAGTGAGAAATTCGTAGAGATGTTTTTCATATCCCACTATTAGTGGATATGTGCTCTCTAGTTAACTGCATAGTTACAATATTATTTTTAATATTACTTTTTTAACAATTATTGGGAATAACAATGAAATAATGTGTGTAACGAAGGTAACAATGGGTAGGGCCCGTTCGGGGAAATCTACGACATTTTATTTTGTATGTAATTTATATACACAGCTGTTAGATACCAGACAAGTGCAGCCCACGCAAGGTCCGTCTGCGTGTTTAAATGTTTGACCATCCGTGTACACTTCTCCTTCATACAGACAATCTCCTGGGCAGGTGTCAATCTTGCATCTAACCTGAGTGGCCTAAATAAATAAAGAAAGAAAGAAAGACAGAGAAATATAAATAAAGAAATATATATTCATGCCATGCCATTTTAAAAATTGCTTCCAATGACGATTTCAAACGAATCGTATGAAATTCTATGAATTTAGATTTAATTGTTCGTATAAGACGATATACGCCCTCTGGTGTCGCAATGGTAAAATATCGATATACACGTGAGGGAATTTTCAGGAAGTCAGTCGCACACAAATATTTACGCCTTTCTGTATAAGCGCGAAAAATAATTAACGAAGTAATCAACGAATAATCTCGCAATAGCCAATTTGGTATCTTCCAGAAGATCTCTTCCATGTATATTCTTCTACATTTAGCCTTTTACGGTGAGATGGTTGCGATTGTGTTTATGTGGCTTACGTAACAGGAGCAAGATTCACAGAAGCCTTGCTCCACGTTCCCTATCGCCACCGTTGTGCCGTGCGGAATAAGCATGTCCTTGTACTTGCATAACCTATCTGCAAATATAGTGTCGACGCATTGCGTTATCGTTAAATCATACATTCGTGTATGGTTGGCCGTTGTACTCATAAAAATTATTTTCTTCGCCTCATTATGTGTATTAGAGGCATTGATACACATAATAGAACCGTGGTTGAATTATCTTTACCGCGTATTATATGTGCCTATAATACGCGTGCATGCTATATGCAGTATAAATGCTATGCAGAAATAATTCAACCGCGGTAGAAATCATTCAACCGAGGTAGAAATAAATCAACGGCGGTAGAAATAAATCCACGGCGGTAGAAATAATTCAATCGCGATAGAAATCATTTATCCGCGGTTGAATTATGTGTAACAATGCCCCTGAGTGGGTAAAAGGCCAATAATATTACCGCGGTTAAATTAGTTCAACTGCGGTAAAATAAACTACTTCTAACCCAACCATATGTGCGTGCCGGCGTGTGTGTCCACTCACTCCCTTCCTTCCTTCCTTCGTGCTTTCCATCCTTCCTTTCCGTCTCTCTCTCTCTCTCTCTCTCTCTCTCTCTCTATCTATCTATCTCTTTGTCTCTCGCGTTGCCCTCTGCCTACCCTCCTCTCTGTCCCCTGTCTCTCATTCTCGATAACATGAGCAAGGCGGTGAGGAAGGAAACGATGGGATAGAGAGACACCGAGAGCTAGAGGGGCGAGACGGTGTGAGAAAGATAGAGAGAAAAATAGAAAGGAGATAAAGAAAGAAAGAGGAAGAGAGGGGCAGCTAATGAGAATGCGAGAGAAGAGGAGGAGAGATGGGGGAAAGAAAGTTATCTAGGTGGGTATATGTGTATTAATCGCGGTAAAAATAATTTATCCGGCGTTAAATTATGTGTAACGAGGCTTCTGATTGTATAAAAGGGCTAGAATTTTGTCGCGGTTGACTTATGGCCCCGTTTAACCACGGTTGACTTGAGTACAATGGCCAATCATATTCGTGTCATATCTCACACGCATTGGCAAGGCAACAACTGGAGGCCTGCCCATTTATTCAGGCCGTGTAAGTGTTTTGTATCAGTAAAGAGGGAAAGCCTAACTGGCACCATTAGCGGAATAAATAGCGGATGTAAATTCGCGCAACACATCGTAAAAAAGCGCGTGTCTTTGACGCTCACCTCTGTAAAGTTCCTCCTGCGGGAACACGTTAACGCAGTCAGCGCCATCTGTCTGCAGCGGCAGGTACTGACATTTCGGCAGCGATATGCGGCGCTGGAACTGGTCGGACGACGCGGCGACAGTCTCGTAGACGCGCGCGCAGACGCCTCCCTTCAGTCGCTCGCAGTCCTCTCTGCAGAGATTCTTCTGCGCGATGTGACCAGCAGAGCCGGCGCACGTCGGCAGCGTGTAGTGGCAGATGGCAGGGTGCAGGTAGCGCGAGCAGGTGGAGTCCATCGCGTCGCTGAGCAGCGCTATGATATGGTAGAGATTCTCGACGAGGCCGCGCTCGATGTCCGGCATCGTGTCGTCGCCCGGGTACACGCTCTGGTTGCCGAGCTGGTCCGTACACACCGAGCCGCGGTATGTCACGCACAGGTTGTAGATTTCATACAGGTGCCCCTCGGCTGCCGTCTGCTCGCTGTCCGTTCCGCTCCCAGTCGCTGTCCTCGGCCGTTCCCGGTAGGTATCGCCCTCTACAGGTTCCGGGATTAGAAGTTGCTGTTGCCTGGATCCATCCTTGTTGTCATCGTGGAAGAAATCCGCCGGAAGGACTTCCGCTGAAAATCATTCCAGAGACGAAGGCAGATGGATAATACGGTTCAGTAAATATTTGCGTAGATGGTCATACGGACTCTTACAATCAAGGATAACTTATTTCAGACCCGTTCACGTCTTCGTGCACACCCATGGTTTTACGCTCTCTTCTAAACGTAGTGGCAAAGTGAATAAGGTTAGACGAAGGAAAGAAAAGGCTATCTTGCTACTTACTAACTTACTGACTACCAACTTACTAACTACCAACTTACTAACTACCAACTTACTAACTACCAACTTACGAACTACCAACTTACTAACTACCAACTTACTAACTACCAACTTACTAACTACCAACTTACTAACGGCTAGAAACTTGACGACGTTAATAATAGCGTAAAGTACAGCTAACTTTTCATTTTGAATGTGGGCTGTGAGTGTCGAAATAGTTAGCACTAATTGTACAGATAATTAGCGTGATAAGACATATGATCAGATATGAGCGTGATGATGACAATCTCGCCCACACAACAGCGAGCAGCTCCGCTAGGCAAATCATGTTACGGAAGCAGAGCCAACGCAGTTGCGGAGGTCTTACGTTAGGTTTGCCCCATGGGATCTAATGTCCAAATGTTTGGAATCAAAAGTCAAAAGAGAGAAGAATATGTAGACGTGAGTGTGTCGTACCGGACGTTTCATGGATCAACACGTGTGCTCCTGTCTCCACGTGATCGCGTCCATTCTTGGCTACGCACTTGTAGTACCCGGAGTCATCTACTGTTGTATCCTACAGTAACATGCAAGGCACGTCTTTACCATCGCATGTCAAATCTCCTCATTCCAAATTGCAAATGTATATATATATATATATATATAATATATATATATATATATATATATATATATATTTGTGTCGTGTATGTGTGTGGTGTGTGTGTGTGTGTTGTGTGTGTGTGTGTGTCTGTCTGTCTGTCTGTGTGTGTGTAGAGAGAGAGAGAAAGAGAGAGAGAGAGAGAGAGAGAGAGAGAGAGAAAGGAGAGAGAGAGAGATATAGAGAGCAGAGAGCCGAGAGAGAGAGAGAGAGAGAGAAGAGAGAGAAAGAGAGAGAGAGAACGTAAGCATATATAGATAGATTAGATAGATAGATCGATAGGATAGCATAGATAGATAGATAGATAGATAGATAGATAGATAGATATATAGATAGATAGATACATAAGATAGATAGATAGATAGATAGATAGATACAATAGCTAGATAGATAGCTAGATAGATAGATAGCATAGATAGATAGATAAACTAGATAGATTACGCATAGACAGATAGATAATAATAGAGAGAGAGCGAGAGAGAGAGAGAGAGAGAGAGATCTATATCACTCGATTCAATCATTTGCGCGTTGCTTCCGCATGATTGCGGTACCTTTGTAGCGCTTCTAACGCGTGACAATCTAGATATATTGGCTAATAACAAAACACACCATATTACTAATACTTCGACAAGTAGTCGGCGATTATTCGTCGATACTACTACTCGGCACTTTCGTTATTCGTTTCTCTTGGGCTTCGAACCGAAGTTCAACCGCTGTGAACCGGATCAACTGCCCTGCGGACCATACCCTGAGCCGCAGTGTGCTGGCGCGTCGGTTCGTGCGCAGCTTGAGACGGCGTCCGCGCGGCTCGACCAGGGTACCGTCCTTCATCCAGTAGATGCGCGGCCGCGGCTTGCCCGTGATGCCGCACTTGAGCGTCACCCGGTTTCCCGCCATCACGGCGACGTTACGCAGACGCTTCCTCACGTTCAGTATTCCTGCGACGCAGAATGTCACCGTGAAGAAGAAATGCCATGATGAGGCGGTACTGTTACCATGAGGGAGTATTGCAACCGTGACGGGGTAGTGTCACCGTGACGGGGTAATGCCACCGTGATGGGTCAATGTCACCGTGACGAGTCAATGCCACCGTGATGGGTCAATGTCACCGTGACGAGTCAATGCCACCGTGATGGGTCAATGTCACCGTGACGGGTCAATGTCACCGTGCCGAGTCAATGTCACCGTGAGGGGGTAATTCTCATTTTCCCTCTACTCTTTTTGTCTTCTCTTCTTGAAGCTGTACATCTCATTACAGAGCAGTTCTAGTCAGCCTGGGTTTGCTAGCGATGTACTAATCTGAGACGGTATGAAAGGACTGTTTCCTGCATAGCAATTAATGAATAGCATAATATATAGTAATTTTGAGTTAATCCCCCAAATATTTTTTTCGTTATCACTTATTGCTTATTCGCGTTATCACGCGGATTATTGCAACCTATCATTCTCGAATATCACATACGCAATTTCCGAACACTCACCAGAACATAGAGGGCAGCACTGGCCAGGTGGTATGTAATTACTGACGCAGGGTGTAACACATTCCTTCTTCCTACAGTGAATGTTTCCTCCCTAAATGAATTAACATAAATCACTAATAGTTATCAGCTTATTTCTTGTTTCATGTTTCCCTCTAACCTGAATCGCTGATAAATTGACTATGACGTTATATTTGTTTCGGTAACAGTCATTTATAACGTCAGCGATTGACACGCAATATAATTCCAGTTAATGTTAAATTCTGAAAAACGGCGCGTGCGCAAAGATGCGTACCAGACATCTGCATTCATTACACTCGTTGTTTGGATCTGGAAAAACCTCATCGTCGCGGTATGTGACATTGTTGTAAGTGCATCCTTCACAGATGGGACAACATTGACCTTTCTTCGGAGCTGGGTAGCTACACAGACTGTCGCACACTATATTGCTACACAGTGGCTCGGCATCTTTTTGCTGCAATACAAACAACACTCCCTTTTAGAACTGCTACTAAATATCTCCCTCTCACTCTCCCTCTCGTTATCGCTCATCAGCTCGGTCGCTCTAGCGCTCTCTCGCTCTCTCACTCTCTCTCTCTCTCTCTCTCTCTCTCTCTCTCTCTCTCTTTCTATCTCCCTCCCTCCCCCACCTCTCTCTCTAGCTGTATCTCTGACAATTGCAGGCATACACGTGCGCGCACAGATTTATTATGAAATTAATCAAGCGCGAGTGGGCACCACATTCGTATACGCGGTGTAACCTACCAAGCAGGTGCATATTTGACATGTTGGCGGTCCTCTAGTCCAGCTGCCACCCACAGCGTGCATCTGGCCAACTTCGTCCCGGCAATGTGGCTTCAGCCTTGGTCCGCAGATCGGGCAGCAGAGGGCGGCAGGTTGGTATGGCTCACTGTCCTGGCAGTCCAGTGCGGGACACGTTGCTAATTTACACCTGACGTCGCCATCCTGAGGAATAGACACGTCCCCGTTAACATAACATCATTGATTATACAGCTGTACAGCAGTAATGACACTAACCACGTCAACAACAATAGCAGGTAGCAGCACCAGCAGCAGCAGAAACATCAATAATAACAATAATAATAATATCAACAACAACCACAGAATCAAGTTAACATGGCAGAAAAGGCTACCGGACAGTATAGTAGCAATAGCTGTAAGTGAATATATATATATATATATATATAGTTGTCACAGTAATTGCACCCGGTTACAGTAATTGGCATCTACAATGACATATTACCATGCAGGCACAGATGGAGCATGGATCCTCGATAGGTGTGAACACCGTACCATGGCTGTACTCTAATCCATTATAGTCGCAATCTGCAATAGACAGACACACTGCCAACTATAGCCTACGACAAATCCATATTTGAACGCTTAATTTTTAACATGTTTTAGATATACCAACCTTGTAAGTAAAACCGGCATCGTAGCCTGCTCTGAGCCGTCATCACACTGCATTTATTAGTATCATTTTCCATGTATACCAGGACCGCAGCTAACTCATTTTGCCTGGAGGGGCAAACCTTGCACGCGGGTTGCCTTGGCAGTGACCGTGGGCATTTCGCCGTTACCGCTGCCAAGGCATGGGGCGCGTGGTTAGAAACGAATTTTGTCTTAAAATTGGTCGTAACATTAAATTTTTCTTGTAGACCATTGACAAAAATATCGTAACGTTGCGAGAAGGAAAGATCCTGGCAAATTCCCTCATAACTTTACGAAATAAAGTTTTGTCAACGCTCTACGAGTTCAGACTAATTTTGTTTCTGAAAACAGGCTGCTCCTGTTGAACAACTGCCACGCCAGCCCCCGTCCACGGTTGCTACGGCACTACTTAATACTTTTGTTGAGATTATACATCTGTCATGAGCATATACCCAAGAGTAGTTAGATATGACAATGTTGTACGCAATGGGCCACTTCATTAATTATGAATCGGAAAATCTTTCAAACCTTTAGAAACGTGCATGCAATAGATTATCAAGTCAGACGCGTCTGGGTGGATGCGTACTATCTGCTAAATCATATGTCATTTTGTTGTCAGCATTGTTAGGTGCATGGCTTCCTTATTATAATAAGAGAACCCCCAATCTTCTTCATATCCCGATTTTCTGTAATGTCGTTGGTATGCCTATTTTTGATTGTCGTTTTTCCGTGCTAATGTCGCGCATTAGAAGTAGTACATGGTGTTAAATAAATTATATTAATAAATTTAGTTGAAATCCTACACCTGTATTGAGAACATTTGTCGTTCCCAATGGTTCTTTTTTATTAATTGTAAAGCGAAAAATCTTTCAAACATTCTTAAAACGTGCGATAGGTTATATCGTGAATGGTGTTTGCGCGCATGCCTATATTATTTGCTAGAAGAAATCGGACTTTGTTAGTTTTTGATATTTGAAAAGAAGAGGTCATACTCAGGAGTCGGAGTTTACGAAAAAGGTGAAACGCATTGGCTCCCTAGCATAGTGTATATATGAGTATAATATATATATAGATAGATTATGATAATCTTCGGTGTATGATGGTAAACGTTTATACTCATATCAGGGTACTGCTATCTCATTTTGGCTGGAGGGTAAAGCCACGCACGGTTTGCGATCTGGGCAGTTGGTCGTGTGCAGTTCACCGTAGTCGCTGTTAAGCACCTTTTCCGCCTACCTCCCGCCATCTACAGCCCATCATACACACTCACCCAGCAAGCTACAAAACTGGTACCTTGATGGCGTTCATAGCGGTCCTTTCGGCGTCCTGCTGGAAAAGTCATCTGTTGATCCTGCCTAGCGGAAGCCTTAACGTCGGCAACGCGCGACCTGTGACGTGACCGTGACCCCGATCGCTGACCTTGCCGCGGCAGTTCCGGCGTAGCGATCGGATCGCTATGAAACTCGTCGATGAAGTCGAGTGAGTCCGTGAGCATGTCCGATACGTCGTACGCGAACGGCTCGCTGACCCTGGCGGCCATGTAGCGGTCACGCGCCACCTCCACCTCATCGTCATCTTCTCCCCTTTCATCCCCATTGTCATCGTCATCGTCATCGCCATCATCATCGTCGTCGTCGTCGTTCCGATTGAGGTTGTCTGTCGGCGCGTCGGTGCGCGGCTGCCGCGTCGCAGACGGCTCGACGTCATTCGGCGCCTCCCCGCGTCGCAGCGTCGCGGCGGTAGCGGCTTCTTCTCCTCCATCTCGCTGAGTGCTACGCGCCGAGGCGTCGCTCGCGGCGCTCCGTGTTCCCAACGTCGTCGGCTTGTCGCGCGCGTGCGCGTCGCCGCCTCTGTCGCGCGAGTACTCCGGTACGAGAAACACTCCCGAAGCAAGCATCTCGACGTGCTCCTGCATCGACGTAGTCGGTTCGACGTCGTTGACGCGTCGCTGCTCGTAGTCGAGCCACTTCGGGAAGATCTCGTTGAGAATCTTCAGTATGAACTTCTCGAAGTTCGTGTCGTTGAAGTGCGGTTCCGCGTACTCCACGGAGGCGTTGCGCCGCAGCTGCGGCGGCGCTACCGTCGACGTCGCAATCGCGCGCACGCTAGTCGGCGCCACCGTCTCCGGGTGACAGGATGCCGTGTCAGCACCGATTCGGCAACTTAATATCGGTTCCGGTTCGGCGAAGGTCATGTTAGCTTCGACGAGTTCGGGGAGCGTGTATTCGGATTTGAGGTCGCTGAACGACGAGCTTCCGATGACGTTGTGAGCGACGAGAAACATGACGTATTTCGTGTCCGGCTGTAGGTTGTCGAGTGTGTAGGCGACGGCAGTGGGCGACGTTATCCTCGTGGTGGAGAAGCGCTTCCGATGGCTCGGTCTAAACCTGACGCGAAAATAACGTGAACGCATTTTGATCTTAGTTCAGTCGAGTTCGACTCGAGTTATCAAGAGAACCGAAGAAGAAAGCATCGGCGCAAATCAAGAAGTTGGCAATTAGTAGGTTAGGATTAGGGCTTAGAGATTAGCCATCAGGCATTTGAGAAGATGTACATCAAATGGCTAATATGATTAAACCCCTCAAATCTACGTAACACTTATTTAAATCGATCCTGTTTTGATTGATAAAACATATAAAGATGGGTTACACTCAGCTATCATGCAATGCTAGAAATACCGGCAGTGTTAGTATTATTAACACACACCAGAGGGTGAAGTATTCCGGAGCATTTGATTCCTTGATCAACATTGTCCAGTTGATGTATATCGAGTTCTGCGCTGGATACAGTGTGACATTCGCAGGAGCTGTCGGTCGGTGCTCTGAAATATTAATCGTAATAGATTGCCAATTAGTAGAGTGAGCAATCAGCACTTCGGAAAGGGTAAAAATCATACCCGACATGGGACCAGCTGTCTGAAACATCGCAAATAGTCATGACCACCATGTGTCAAAACTTTCGCAACATTTGCACGACACATTGCTGGGAAACCTACGACATTTTAAATGCATTATGTTATCGCTACTCACGATATTTTCTGACAACGCGACTCCGTATGCTTCGCGAGTTTAATTAATGCCCCAGTCACACATACACGACGCACGGCCCGCGCACTGAAAATTAATCAAAAAATGGAAAATAGATCAGTGCGTCGTTGTGCGCCCAACTTTTGTCAGGATTTGGGAGAAGCTAGCGAGTTGACAACGAATGCACAGCGTGTTGCTAGCGCGCTGCGCGCATACAGGGCGCATTCGTTGGATTTTTTAACATGTGCGCTCTGTATACGCTCTGTAATGCGCGGACCATTCGTTCCGTGCGCTAGCAACACGCTGTGCAGCACCGCGCATTCAACGCACAGCCAGCGCACAGCCAACGCACAGCCAACGCACAGCCAAC